GCTGCTCGGAAAGGGTGTACAGTGAACCTGCTATCTTCCACGTGTAATAGCTATGTTGCAAAAGTCCCATGGCTTTGAAGATTAGTATTCCACCGCGAGAATATGTTGCAATAGATATATGTTGCAATATGTACTGTTGCGAGCATGTGCCGAATTGGATGTTGTGTGGGGAATGCGAAATTTGGCGCCCCCGTGGTGAGCGGTTCTGTCGTCGCACACCTTTGCCGTTGCACGGGGGTAGCTGCCTGCAAACCATTTTTTTGGCAGTAACGCAAAAGCTGAATGTAGCAGGCAAACTCCGCGGATGGGAGCTCCTTGGCTGCAGCTTTACCTACTAAAACCAGAGCTCAAGCTAAGAGCGCAGGTGGCCAGATTCGCGGGCTACTCTGAAGGAGCAGACAGTCTCTCGGCGAATCCGTCCGTCTCCGTCCAGGACCGAAGCCTCGTCGAGAGGAGGGGAACCTGCCGTGGGGGTCTACTCAACTACATTAAACATACAATACTTATTACAATCCACAATGCGAAGAAACAAGTTGCAGATAACGTGGCATAACTTGGCTCGCAGCTGTGGTAGTATTTCACACCCGTTGAACGAAAGTGTGCGCAAATGGGCTGAAGGATTGTGATAGATGAATTCCGCTCTTTATCCACAACGTAATATATAGTCCTCATCATTGCAGACCGGTGGGGCGTGTCAGCCAGAAGGAGTGCGCACACTGTTGGAGCCGTTCTCAGCCTTTTGTTGCAACGCGTATGCGACAAAAAGTGGTAGAAAACGAGTAATACGAAGGATATATACAGTAATGCACTTGCCCGCTTCAAAAACTGGTGCAGAACGATTTTGCCAAACCGCACCAAATGCAGCCGCACTGCCACGCCCCACCGGTCCGCAATGATGAGGACTGTATATACATCAGTGCAACAGTCTCGCAGCGGACACCGTGACAAGCAAGCTGAGGCCAGGTGTGGCGAACAACAAAACATGGGAGGGAGCTGAGAGAGGCACAGGAGAAGTAGCGCGCTCAACTATCGGCGTACCTTCGGCCGTGCGGCACTTTAGGCAGCCTTCATACTTCGCGACAGCAGCGCGACCTCGGCGGATCGACGCGATCGTCGGTACATGGTGGAGCGCGCCACAACTTTATTAGTTGTGCTTCGAAGGCTTTTGGGAGTAAGCGGCCCAATTTCATGCTTTTTTTCCTTTTACTGTAATTTTCTTAGGTACTGAAGCTTGGTTTGACACAAGGGAAGGTGAGCCCAGCTTAATCGCTTTTGTTTTCTATTTTCTTTCTTATTCAGGATAGAAATGAGCAAAAAGCGTGAGAGCTTCATTTAGGGTAGGTTTTTATTGTTTCTTTTTCATTCGTCGAGCTTATACATGAGGTTATAAAGTTTTCACCTGTTGATGTTGCGTAAAATGATTAGTGTTTTGGTTCCTAGGTGAGTTTCTTTCTGTTTCTTTTTTTCTTCGTTGTTTGAACTCGACTTGTAAGCTATAAATGTTTTGGAAGTTGGAACAGTTCAGAGGATAGAAACTTTCAGAGCGCCTGTATAAAGTGAAACAATAAAAAAAAAAAACAAAAAGAAGCTCACCCAGGGAAAGGAGTTGGCCTTATCCCGACCTAAAAAGAAGTGAAACCTCCTTACCTCATATTCCAGATCCTTATGTATAGAAAGTCGTAGCTTATCTGTTAGTAGCCCTTATTAAGAGTAAAGAAGGTCTTACAAGTTGGATTCCCTTATTCATCAGGCGAGCGGTCCATAATAGCGTTGGGGCGCGCGCTGCCATGCACCGACGATCGCGGCGATCGCCGAGGTCGCCGCGATCGCCGCTGCTGAATTATGAACGCTCCCTTACGTCCGCATGCTCTGCCCGTATGAGGAGTCCAGCAAGCCTGGCAACCATCACCCTAAAACTTCATTTCGACGCAGTCTCGACTGACGAAAGTTTAGCATTTGCAGACACGCTTGTCTTGCCTATGGCAAGAATCACGATTCACAAAAGCTACCATACTGCGACCATGTTTGGAGCAAATCACATGCAACAATGTGAACAGAACCTGCGACCTATAGATAGATATGAAATGAAAGGCACAAGTACACATCGGCAACGACAGCAGATCTACTATGTAACTAAACACTTACATGACTTCTCAACGAATGAACTCGAGAAATATAACAGCGAAAAAATAGGAACAAATCACTTGTTGCACGCATGAGAGTTCTGTCGAATTTCCTTGAGCTTGTGCAAAAAAATCCTGTTTTAGCACATAAACTGCTCCAGAAAATAGGCTCTATCTGTTGCTGATATAATGGTATGAATTGGATGATCCTAGACTATATATAATCCGCTAAGTGTGTCTGTGTGTGTGTGTGTGTGTGTGTGTGTGTGTGTGTGTCACGAAATTCATAGCGCCCGTCCCAGTAGCTGTAGGAAGTTGATTCCGGGCAATGATATAGAGGCTGTGACGGGAACATTATTGGTGGGTGACAGGGAGTGATATCAGCTGATAAGATCCGATAAGAGGCGTCAGAATGGGAGGGCCATCGGGTCCATAGTGCAGGACACAACAACAATGGGACGTTGGTTCCAAGGTATGGTATACGGTGTGGGACAGGAACATTATTGATGGGTGACAGGGAGTGATATCAGTTGATAAGATCCGATAAGAGACGTCTGAAGGGGAGAGCCATCGGGTCCATAGTGCGGGACACAGCAACAGTGGGACGTTGGTTCCAAGGTATGGTATAGGGTGTGATGCAGGAACATTATTGATGGGTGACAGGGAATGATATCAGCTGATAAGATCCGATGAGGGGAGTTAGAACGGTAAGGTCCCCACACTCATAACGCAGGACACAGCATCAGCTAGGAGTTGATTTCAGAAAATGATGTAGGGTGGGAAGTGGGGACATCGACGGCAGGTGACAGGGCGTGATAACAGCTGATAGGGGCAGATAAGGAACGTGGCCATTGTTGTCCAGTCAAAGTGCTGGAGCCTTTACACTACCATATTATAGAGTAGTAGTGATAGGGACATTGTTAGCGAGTGACAGGCAATCTTATCAATTGATAAGAATGATAAGGGGCAGTTGCCATTACATCTCTTATCGCTATACTGCCAGTATTGGAGGCCCCGTGTGCAAATTTTCCTTTAGCCGTCACTTCTATGATAGCCCTAGAAAATGAACTCATCCCACTAATGTCGAATGTCCAACTCGACGAGCGAGGAGCGGGGGGGGGGGGGGGGTATGTAGTTCGCCTGAAACAGGAAACTCAGGAAAAATTCGAGGAGAACCGAAAAACATGAATAATGTGGCACTTCATGCGTTCAATAGCACTTTTTACTTTTGAACTTCCAATTGCTGATTAGATCGAATAACAAGGGCTCATAGTACCTACAAATAGTTATAGTTCAGCGGATTGCAAGCTAAGTGAAAAGGGAAACGTTCATCGGTAGGCATTTCGGTGCAGGGAATGGAAACGAAATCTGCTTTTTACTGAGCGATTCATACTGCGCTGTATTGACCTACTACACATTGTGTCTATATCTACAGATTTATGTTTTGTATGGGCGTAATGGCGCGGACACACCCTGCCCCTGCTGCAAATAGAAGCGTGTGCTAAGTAGTGCACGATCCCAAGCCTTCCTCTATCTGCAACGATTCGATCACTACAGCGCCGTATGAGCAGCCCACTATTGAAAAAGTTCCGTTCCATTATGGAACGCGCCTGGCGAAGCCAGGCCAGCTCGGCGAAGCCGAGCTAAAGAAGGAGGAGAGCTCGGCGTCAGCCGGGCGATCCGACTGGTTAGACTATATATCCTAACATGCGATTACTTCGTTTATTGTTTTTTTCCTCGTACAAAATATGTGGTTGCGTTGAAACAGTATAGCAAATGATAGTAGAGGTGTTACGACTATCTAAGAGACCCTGTTAACCCACTTGCGTACCGCGTGCTGCACCATGTGCAGCACGCTCATTCGTCGCTGTATGGCCGCGTGCTGCACATGGTGCAGCACGATGATTTTCCGCTCCATCTGGATCATCCTTTTCTGCTACGAAGTTGCGACATATGTGTTCAGATACGGAGAACAACCTAAGTATGTGGGGACTCAATCGCTGAAGGAGCACTTGGATTATTGACCTCTTTCATGAAATACTTCAATTGCGATTGTCTTCATTTATTTTCCACATTCATAAAAACTCGTAAGTAATCAAATAGGACCCCGTTGATGATAAGTGTGAAAACACTTAATGCAGAAATATCGATATTTCTAGGAGCGACTCACCAAACGCCTTTCTTGTCAACCGTAATCTTTGAGGATTGATCTGATTTCGAGTCCCATTTGGGAACAATTCGCCAAATACTTCAGTAGTTCGCCCTCGTCGAGATTAATCCAGTTTGAGTACTTTGCGATGGCATAACGACTTTTTCTCTTACAATAGAATCAACGAAATCTTTTGTGAAAAACCGCACCGGAAAAATGGGTACTGGTAATATAGATCATCTTCATCCAGTACACCACCGAAAAAAGTCAAAATGGTTCTACCTGCTGATATTTGGAACCATTGAATACCTCCATCGGTTTTGTCTAAGCCCTCTTCGCTCGATTCCCAATCGCACTCGTCACTCGAATAATTCACGCGGATAACCAAATCTTCTGGAGTCAGAGCCTTATTTCATCACTTCCAATCAGAAGTTCATCAAACGATCTACTCAGCGCGTCCATCATTGGTTATCTGGAACGGCTGCCATGGGTTAGGCGTAGTTTCCCGAAAAAAGTAGCCTGGAGGAGCGAAATGATTTGTTGAGTACGCTTCGCTGCGGCAAATACCCTCTGCGTGGCCGCGTGCTGCACCACGTGCAGCACGCGAGCGAGGTTGCGAAGTATGGCTCGGGCACAAGCGGTAGCCAGCGAAAAAACGCCGAGGTACGCAATGGGCTTATTTATACCCGTGCTAGCATGTCATGTACACATATTCATTCGGAAGATAGTTAGTGGCAAAATAGTTTCTCGAGAGGAGGTCTTTCTGTTGCCTCTAACAAATCAACTACGATGTGAGTAAACAGATTTTCAAAAGTAATATTAACAACTTTGTAATTCAATGTGTTCAAGCCGTCACTTCTCCAGTCCTTTTTCGTATGTTCTAGCAACTTGTGTCGACACCTGAAAAGGAGTAACAACTATTAAGTGAAAAATCAATAAAATGACCATATGACCCTATTTTCTGAGATACGGGGCGCACCTGTAGAGCTGAATTTCTACACCCATGATCCCTGCAAACGAAGGCGTCTGACGGTGCCATGCTTGGAGCTTAACCAAGTCAGATTTTGCTGCAGTTATTTCTATCTTAGGATGTCAACACTGATGGGAAAGTTGCTTTCTGGCTCCGCTCCAAAATGCGCATTTGACGTGTTGGGACGAGTTCTCACTTCTCGGTGAAATAACTATATCAGCTCACTTCCCTTACCCTCTTCCAACAAGGAGCCTCTCAAAATAGGTGTTTGGCGTAATAGGCCGTGAGTAGTACCTTGCCTTCATCATGAGCGCACAGCGCTATTTTTGGACAGCGAAAGCGGCACTCCGTGGATGATTAAGGACCGAACACCTTGCCCAATAAAGGAGCCTGCACATCCGCAGGTGGCTGCGAATAGTACCTCCAAGGAATATCAGATTGATACAAAAATGAAGCACCAACTGACGGATTGGTGGGATTCGACTTTGCCTCGTGTAGGTGTTTGATCATGGTGTAACGAGCAATGATGTTGTTGTACCGCTCTACCTTATATCCAGCAAATTCGATCCTAAACTGTGTAGTTCTATTGTTGAATTTTCGAATGATGATGTACAGAATACTGGGCGGCTTGGTGAGGGCTTTCTGCTCGTTACTATCAATCAGTGCTGATGCCTCTTCTGGAAGACATGTTGAATTTCGTAAGGCTGTGCATTAGCAGCAGCTCTGGATTTTGCGGGCCTTTCTAACAATAAGGTGAGACTTGTGAGTTGAGAGGAATTGACTCATGGAGCTAGCGAGAGTGCGAAACTCCCTCAAGGCCGAATAGCGCCGGATACTGTGGTGAGACGGCATCATTTTCGGAATTTTGAGGCCTTCTGAGCGATCTTGGGCCTCGATATTTCAAATCTTCATCTACGTTTTATATCATTATTTCAAGAAGCTAAGAAAATCTCACCTTAGGGTATGTTTCACATCATGATAATTCACAATGAATATTATGGTGAACTACAAAAAAAATCGTGGGATGAAAAGCTTGGCATCAAAATAATACGCTATTAAGAGTCAGGCAGCTAATAAAAGAGAGCTTTTTACGTGTTCATTCTCATAGATAAACTCTAGCTGCACCAGCGCATCACTTTTTTCTGGTCAAAAGGGCTCGAGAGGAGAAGTTGGAGGCTAGAGGGTAGCGATACCAAAGCGCTACTTCTATACTCCGGCCACGCTAACCTCAATGTGCAGCGCTTGAGTCGATATTAAGATCCCGCGACAACCGCATGTAAGCGGGTGCAGGAAAGTAGGGCAAATGGCACTGGTTAGGTGCGTAGTCGAAGGAGCAGCAGCGTGGACGGGTATGGAGACGACATCCAGCTGTTACCACCCATTCCCGTGCAATTTTCATCCGAGAAAGTGACACGTGACACTTGCTCGCACAACGAAAGCGGAATCTAAATGAATTTCAAGTTTGTCTGCTGTATGGCAGTAGCGTTCCTACCTCTTATACATGTCGTCATCTTCGCCACCCCATCCCCAGTATCGATTTGAAAATCCATTCGTTCTTCTTGAACTGATCCAACGTAAGTGCCGAGCTCATGCCAAACATCTCTTCATAGTGAAGCCTACAAAGTTGTAATAGGGAATTTACTATTCCAAGGATGAGTTTTTTCTATAAGACCCATCTAGTGCAACAGAAAATGACTGGTCCCCCTAGTAGAGTGACCTACTTGTAGTCAAATTTATTCACTGCTACTGCCATATGCCGTGGATTATTGGTAGGACAAGTGTGCAAATTACGGTCATCTTCCGGTAGAAGGTCCACATCATGGAACAGATAACATTGCCATTTGTAGATTTTGTTGGCCTCCATAAACCCAACATTGAGCAACTAAACAATGAGGTTTGTCTAGTTTCTCAAGAGTTTCGAGGGCTCAGATAAATCCCCAAATAGCCCACGTGTTGTTAAGAATTTCACAGGCTAAAATGTTGCACAACCACGTATTTGTCTGAGTTACAGCGAATTGCAATATCTAGTATAGTACATCTCACTGTGAACTCGAACGTGTGATCTTCTGAGCTAGAATAAATGCAATAATTTACCTTAGCTCGATTAAACGTTTGATTTTCGATTTGCTCCACCACTATAATGGAATAGTCCAACTTTTGTTTTGTGAGGAATCGGTGCATATTATTCAAAAGTATACGAAGGTGAGATTGTCTGTCCCGATACGGAACGATTACTGCTATCTATAAAGGCAAATTTAGTAAGGGCTAGAGGAAACGATTGATTACCTCAAGAGTGTTGTTTCAGAAATGCTCCAGTCTCACAGTAACGAATACCGCTGCTTTTCAGTCTGCAATTGCTTGTTCAACTAGGGCTAAATCTGCAGAGGTGTTCAGTGAGCATCGATATCTGCAACCTGTTCAACGCCCGATGTGATATAAAATTGTAGTTGCCTTACTTCTACCAAGCTAAGCTATTTGATGGAGCCTTTATACGTGTCGTGCCTAGGTGCTAACAAGATGATGGCACCGGCCAAGAGCGCCTGCGTCACGTTAGAGCGTGGAAAAATGCACGGCCCACACCCTTTAAGGTAGGGAGAGGAGGGGGGGGGGAACGCGCACCTAAATGCTTTCAGTGGACCTGCCGCGGGTCATGCAAAAGCTCCCCTTGCGATGCGGAGGTATAAGCCGAGTACCCATAACTACCAGCCGAGACAGTAACGGAAGGACACCAGCTTTGAAGACATTCCTTATAAAGGAAGGGTTTAGTAAAAGCACGAACAAAGAAGAGCTTAAAGTAAGCAAAGCATGGGATGACAAAACAATTAGTATTGTAATTCATTAGCAATATTTGTGAAGTAATACAGAGAGAGGGAGAACATTAGAAACAAACAGAAAAGAATATTGGAAGAAGAAAACACTCCAAAACACAGATGGTCCGTTACGCCTGTTATCCCCAGACGAACCATTATTGTCTCGGAAACCCCCAGAGATACCTGCAGACTACAGAAAACGAGGAGCCTAGGAGAAGAGAAAGTGGTACGCAGCTGATCGCTTGTGACAGAGGAAGACCCGCGGATATGTGTCGTGATGGCTGTGGAATGGTGACGCTGTTTCCACGAGCGCCCGAGGCGAGCGCTTAACGCCGACTGACTTTGGTTAACGAAAGTGGAACTCACCCTAGGTGCGGTTTCCCGTGCTTCATGCATTTCAGGATAGGACTCACGGCAAGTGCAACCAGAGCGCTGGTTCCTACCGGCTCGCTATTAACCGACGAGACGGTCGGGCGCGATTCACGACATTGAGTTACGCGACTTTCAATGTATTTTCAATTAAACAAAATGATGATTTTGATGGACAAATAATTTCAGAACTCCCAATC